TTTTTTTATGTGTTTTAAATGGATAATTGAATTTTTATCAAATGCCTTTCCAGCTTTATAATTTTTCTACTTCATTCTGTTAATATGCTGAATTACATTGGTTGATTTTCTGAATGTTAAACCAACTTTGCATTCCTGGAATAAAACTTTGGTTGTAATATATTTTCCTTTTTATATATTGTTAGATTTGATTGGCTAGTATTTAATTGGGGTTTTACACCTATGTTCAGGAGAGAGTTTGGCCTGTAATTTTCTTTTTTCTTTTTTTTTTTATTAAAGATTTTTATTGGGGAATTAGGGGAGGGGGACAGCATTGGGGAATCGGGGAAGGGGAACAGACAAGTTGCTGTCCTTTTGTTCTTCAGTCTAGTTATGGAGGCCGTCGCTTCACTGACCCATGTTAGTATTGTGATCATTGCGCTTTTCCCGGGTGAGGCAGATTGGTTGCCGGCCCCTGGATGGTTGCTCACAGTGGCTCTTGGCAGCTCACACCAGCTGCCGGCCGCTCACACCGGCTGCAAGCCACTCATGGTAGCTTGTGGCACCGCACTGCAGCCTATGCTGTCGCCAGGGACTCACGGCAGGTCGAGCTGCCGTTCACCACCTTAGCTGTAGAGGGCACAGCGTCACTGGCTCTCGTGGGATCCGAACCAGGCCCTGCTGCTCAGAGCTGGCGTCCCAAGCCAACTCTTAACCAACGTGCCACTTGGCCAGCCCTGTGATTTTCCTTTCTTACAATGTTCCTGTCAGGTATTAGTATCAAGATGATGCTGGCCTTGTAAAACAAGTTGGGAAATATTGCCTCTTTCTGTTACCTGGAAAAGTTTATGTCAGCTTGGTCTTTTTTCTTGCTTAAATGATTGGTAGAATGCACAGTGAAACCATTCAATCCTGGAGATTTCATTGTGGGAAGGTTTTAAACTAGGCATTCAATTTCTTTATTAGAAATAAGACTATTCGTATTTTCTACTTATTCTCATGTCAATTTTGATAACTTGTGTTTTTCTAGGAAATTGTTCACTTCATCTACATTTTCTAATTTATTGCCATAAAGTTTTTCATAATATCCTCTTAACTTTGTGATGCTTGTTGGATCTGCAGTGATTTTACCTTTCCATTTCTGGTATTATTTGTGCTTTGTCTCTGTTCTTGATCAGTCTTGCTAGGTAGGACTAATCAATTTTATTAGTCTTTTCAAAGGATTGGCATTTGCCATTGTCAATCCTCTTTGTGTTTGTTTCTCATTTCATTAATTTCTCCAAGTTTACTTTACTGGGGCTTTTTTCCTGATTTGAGATGATTACTTAGATTATAAATTTTCATCTTTTCTTGTTTTTGTCAAATGATTTTAGGCTATAAATTTCCCTCTAAACATAGCTTTAGCTTCATGCCACAAGTTTTTTGTTTTTTGTTTTTAAGATTTTATTGGAGAATCGGGGAAGGGAAACAGACAAGTTGCCTTCCTTCTTCTCTTCAGTCTAGCCACAGAGGACGTCGCTTCACTGGCCCATGTTGGCACCATCACTGCGCTCCTCCCAGGTGAGGCAGTCACTCACCGGCCATTGGACGGCCGCTCACGGCAGCCCACGAAAGTTCACGCCCACTGCTGGCCAGCCCCACTGGAGCCTACCCCCATCACCGGTGACTCACGGCAGCCCAGCTTCAGGTCGAGCCACCGTTCACCATCTTAGCCGCAGAGGGCACAGCGTCACTGGCCCNGTTCACCATCTTAGCCGCAGAGGGCACAGCGTCACTGGCCCTCATGTGGGATCTGAACCGGGGCCTTGCTGCTCAGAGCTGGCGTCCCAAGCCAGCTCTGAACCAACGCGCCACTCGGCCGGCCCTCCTTATGATTTTCTTAACATTTTCTTTTCCCTAGCTTGCTTTATTGTACAGATACAGTATATAATACATATAACATACAAAATAGGTGTTAATCAACTGTTTATGTTATCAGTAAGGCTTCTAGTCAGTAGTAGCTATTAAAAGTTAAGTTTTGGGTGAGTCAACAATTATACTAGGATTTTTGTCTGGTGCGGGGGAGGGTAAGGGGGGAGGTGTCTGTGTCCCTAACCCCTGCATTGTTCAAGGGTCAACACACTGTTTTAAATTTTATAATCGGTATGTTTTTAGGAGTAAGTTGAGATTCATACCCCATATATTCATTACGTTTTATTAAGATTAGAAAACTTAGAAAAAAATCAGTAGAAAGTAATAAAATCAGTGACTCATAATCCCACTATGCCAGCAATAACTCCTGTTAAATGTTTTGATGTGTCACTTTTTGCTCTCTAGTTTTCGTGGCTAAAATAAATTAAAAGGAAGGCAAACGAACGTAACCACAGATTTTCAATAAAGTATGTTGGTAACTGTCCAAAATATGTGTTAATCTCATTGTTGTAATCTGTTTAGGGAAGAGAAAGCACAGAAGAATCAGTGTTGGAAATCTCTCTTCATTGATACTTACTCTGATGTAGGACGATACATTGATCATTACGCTGCCATTAAGAAGGCCTGGGACGATCTCAAGAAATATCTGGAGCCCAGATGTCCTCGGATGGTTTTGTCTCTGAAAGGTACTGCAAAAGGAGTGCGGGATCTTCCTTCCCCCACTTTAGTTAACTATAGTATAACCGGGTTAAATAACTGCTGTGTCTCTATCCTCTATGCTAATCTGTGCTAATCCAACATTATCTGTAATTGCCATTCACATTTGGCCTAGGAAGTAGAAAGCCTGTATTGCTAAAAGGACCCTTGTCCTAGTGCCTGCCCTATCTTTGTCTACCTTGGGACCTACATGATTATTTATTAGAAGGGAAAACTGAACTCTTTTTATTCTTATATTTGTTTTATATGAAGAAACTAATAATGCAAACATTGCTTGAGGGTAACTATTGTGATTTCTTTTGAAAGATTTTTTCAAATTGAAAAACTGCCTGCTGTATCAACCATCTTTCCTGTTTTCAGCACAAGTAAATATTTGACAGTCTAATATTTAGAAATACCAAATATTAAAGACCTAGGTCTTAAGAGTGTAAGAGTGGTATAATAGAGTTAGGAAAACTTGCATCCTTATTTTGACATTATTTTTCATAGAAGAGTGAAAACTAAGAATTGAACTGAGGTCTATTTGACCGCAGAATCTATCTTCTTTCTACTACACCATTATTGTCCAATTTTGGCAAGAAATATTAACAAGCTACTTCTCATTAATTTGATTTTTTAATTTTATGCCCAAGAAAGTGCATAAATAGATTGCAGAGGTATTGCTACTTATCAGTTTTGGCTGCTTAAGGTTTTTCAAATTTCTCCACTTAAAGAAATTTTATACATGTTTTGGTTTTCTGAGCTGAAATTGGGATAATTTGTACTCACATGTATTCCTTTTGAACTAAGGTCTCTTTTGAAATAATTCTTTTTACATTTCATAGTTCCACTGTAACGTCTCATGAATATATGAATTTCATACAAATCGTGATTGCATGACCAGGTACTTAAAACTGAACTGCTAGGGAGGTAGAAGGAAGAATGATTTGGCAGAGAGAGTAGGCTTTGAAGGAAAGTACCCTTGACTAATATTTTTAATAGCTTTTTCACTTGGAATAAAAGAATAATATCCACTTGGTTAAATAATTTCAAGAGGAAAATAATTCTGAAAATACATTATTTGGTGATGATAAGTAAAATAGGTAAGAGTTTACAATAGCTTTATTTATTAAACACAAAGCTAGGCACTAAGCTTTGTATTTTGTACTTTGTATTATTCCATTTAATTTGCCAAAATTCTGTGAGGTAGGTAATTACTATTCTCATTTTATAGGTGAATTACCTAAGGCATAAAAAGCTAAGTAAGTTGTTTGACATCACAAAGCAAAAGGCAGAACCAGGATTTGAATATAGTGCTGACTCCAGAGTTAAGGTCTTAACAGCAGTTAAGGGGAGAAAGGACCCATCCTATTTTGTTTAGAATGTCTTAGGACTCTTAGAGAGCTAGTCCAATAGTAGGACATTTGGAATATGAAAATGTAGACATGGTTCTCCTTTCAGGCACAGAGCTACCAAGAAACGAAGAAACTAAGGATACATAGCAGCTTCTTTTCCTTCCTCCCTCCCTCCCTTCCTGCCTTCCTCCCTTCCTTCCTTCCTTCCTCCCTCCCTTCCTTCCTCCCTTCCTGCCTTCCTCCCTTCCTGCCTTCCTCCCTTCTTCCCTTCCTTTTTCCCTGCTCAATTTGGTATTCCCAGGCCTCCCTGCTCACATTTTGTACCTAGTGGTTGGAGGTGAGGTTGTGGTTGTCTAAATTCCTTGTGACAGCCCCTGTTTTACTCTCAGGTGCCAGTTCTCTGGGGTCTTTGCCATGAGTTGGAATACGATAAAGGCTCTTTAATATCTAGAATGTGGGGGATTCCAGGAATGCGAGGCCTATGAGTTTTAGAACTGAGATAGGATACTAGCCCATCACCTCGATGGTCATAGCCCCTGACTCAATTTCAAGGTTGTAGAGATGGCAGCTAGAAAGGAAACTTGAAAAGCAAATAGGTATTGGGCTTGGGAAATTTTTATAAGTTTCTTGAAATTATAGTATATTAATATATCTTCTACCAATCTATCTAATGGTGTGTTTCATGTATCTTCGAATTTCATATTTACCTTACGTGTTGGTTTAAAATTTTAGAATTAGAAGGGCCTTTAGAGATCATTTAGACCAGGGGTTGGCAAAGTTTTTCTCTAAATGATCGTATAGTAAATATTTTAGGCTTTGAGGGGCAGATTGTGTCTTGTTATAACTAGTTACCTCTGCTGTTGTTGGGAGAAAGCAGTCATAGACAATACATAAGCAAACCGGGGTGGCAGTGTCCCAAGAAAACTTTATTTACAGAAACAGATGGCAGGCCAGGATTTGGCCTGCAGGCTATATAGTCTGCTGATCCCTGATTTATACTAGTCTTCTCATTTTACAGGTGAAGGAACAGGCTCAGAGTCAGGTGACTTATGCAAAGTCCCGTAACTAGTCAGTGACAGAGATAGAACGCTGATCTCGGTTTCTTGGCTCATAGTAACTTTTCCACGGTTTCCTCATGCAAGTAGGCTAGGGGACAAGGAAAGTAAATTGCCATTTATTGGGTGCCAGTGAAGCATTTCATTAAGCTTATGAGGCTTATTTAATCCTCACTGTAATTCTCTCAGGTAGGTGTTATTATCTCCCATTGAAGAAATAGGTTTAAAGAGATTAAATAACTTGTCAGAGATCAGTAGGTAAGTGGTAGAGCTGAGATATCACCTGGTCTGTCTGACTCCCAAATTCTATTATACTAGGATGCCTCTCTAAACGTTCATTTTGCAAACATTTTTAAAAAACTTCATGTTTTGTAAACATATGTTTCTTTACATTTTTTTGCCATACTTGTTTGTTTACTGTTTTTCTTTAGCTTACTCTCTTTAAGAAATTCTTGGTTTCTGAATACTGTATGTTAAAGGTCCAAGATGTGGCACTAACTATAAATACTAGTTTCTTTCCTCATCCAACTTCTGGTTCAGACAGCTATTCAGCTTGTTTTGTACTAAACTTTTTTAATTAAGTGTTTATTTGGGAGTAATTTTAGATCACAGGGAAGTTGCAAAAATAGTACAGAGTTCCTGTGCATCCCTCATTCAATTCCAGTTTCCCCTAATGTATTGCCCTGTGGGACATCTGTCAAAACAAAGCCTTTATTGGCACATTATTATTAACTAAACTCCAGACTTTATTTTAGGTTTTACCAGATTTTCCATTAATGTCTTTTTTCAATTTCTATATCCAATCCAGAATATCACATTGCATTTAGTTGTCATGTCTCCTTAGTGCCCTCTTTTTCTCTCGCAGTTTCTCAGTCTTTCATGACCTTAACAGTTTGAAGGGGTACTGGTCAGGTATTTTGTAGAATGTTCTTCAGACTGACTTTGTTTGAAGTATCACTCATGACTAAACTGGAGAAATGGGTTTTCAGAAAGAGTACCACAGAGGTGGAGTACACCTCTCCTCACTTATCTGTGGGTATGTCATATCCACATACTATGGTGATGTTAACTAACCTACAGAAATGTGCACAGACTGTAACATTGCAGTTCAGTGAGTTATCATAATACGAGCACATCCATTGTAACACCCTCCATGTTAAGAGGTAGAATAATTATCTGCATCTAGAACTTTCCTTCTTTCTGAGAAATAGCCACTGTCCTGATTGCTAATACCACTGAGTAGTTTTCTTTCTTTTTTAACTTTATATAAATTGGATGATTAAGTATTTTGTGTGAATTATTTCCATTTTGTTTGTGAGATTCACCTGTGTTGTCTGTAACAGTAGTTTGTTCATTTTGGCTGCAACATAGTACTCCATTATATGAGTAGACAACAATTTATATGTTCATTCTACTGTTGATGGATTTTTGGGTTATTTCTAGTTTTTGGCTATTTCAGATAATGCCAATGTAAACGAAAATGTAAATAATACAGGTGTAAATAATTTTTTATGTATATATAAACTTTAAAAGATACTGTTAATTTTCTCAAGTGGTTCTACCACTTTACATTTCTACCAGCACTTTAATGTTCTCATTCTTTGTTATTTTGACCTTTCCTGTGGGTGTGCAGTGGTGGTTTTAATTTGCATTTCCTTGAGCATGTAGACTAATGACAGTTTTATTTCTAGCTTTCCAGTCCTTACATATCATTTATTTCTTTTTCTTGTCTTATTGCACTGCCCCAGTGCCTTCAGTAAAATGTTGGATAGAAATAATGATAGTGAGCATCCTTATGTTTCTGATCACAAAGGGAAAGCTTTTCTCCTTTGAAGATAATGTTTGGGCCGGCCGAGTGGC